TCTCTCTCTTCTTCCTTCTCTCTCTCTCTCTCTCTCTCTCTCTCTCTCTTCCTGCACGCATCTCCCGCTTCCGCTAAAGCAAAGGCGGTTAAAGGGCGGGAAGCATGCTGCCGGGGTCCAACCGTGTGACCGTGGGGGTGCGGGTGCGGCCGAGGCTGGATGGCGCAGTGAATCCCCTGCAGACGGCGGAACGCTACGAGCCGATGGCCTGCTCACGGTGCTCCGACACGACGCTGCGCATCTGGGATGGACGGCGAACGCGAGACAGCCGGACCTTCTCCTTTGCGTACGACGCGGTGTTTGACGAGCACACGCCCCAGGAGGAGGTCTACGAAGAGCTTGCCATGGGGGCGGTGGAGGACGTGCTCGGCGGCACCAGCGCGACCATCCTCACCTACGGCCAAACAGGCAGTGGAAAGACGCACACGGTGCTCGGTGGGGTGCGAAAAAATGCCTTGGGTGGCAGCATCATCACAAGCGACACGGGCATTCTTTTGCGTGCTTTGCAGGACATTTTGCACTACGCGGCGAACCTGAAAAACAAGTTTCACGTCGTTGTTGGCCTCTCCGCGGTGGAGATTTACCTTGACGAGGTGCGGGACCTGCTGGCGGAGGAGCAGCAGCCCAGCGTCCTTCATCTGGCCCTTGTGAGGGACGTGGTTCGCGTCGCAAAGCTGCGGTATGTTCCCATTCGCTGCCTCGAGGATGGGCTGAGGGTGTTTCAGCGGGCGACGGCGCAGCGGACGCAGCGGATGACGACCGCCAATGACATGTCCTCCCGTTCGCACGCGGTGTTTAACGTTGAGGTCTTTCAGCAGCCCGTAACCGCCACCAGCGCCCGCCCACTTGACCTGCTAGCGTACATCGCTATGCGGGAGGCGGCGCAGCTCGCGCAAGTAGAGGGAAAGGCACCGTCGATGCCCTCCCACCCGCTCTTTCCCGCGGCCTCCCAGCCGCTGCTTGGCGAGGCCGGCGCCCCGGTGATGCACAGCAGGCTTGCCCTCGTTGACTTGGCGGGGAGTGAGAAGGTGCGCAACACCAACGTCAAGGGGGAGGGGTTGGACGAGCTGAAAAAGATCAATGCCTCTCTCAGTGCGCTGGGAAACGTTGTGCGCAGCCTGCATGTGGGCTCACGACACATTCCGTACCGCGACTCGAAGCTGACAACTGTACTTCGCGACTCCTTTGCGGCCGCCAGCGCACGCGTTGTGCTCATCGTCAACGTCAGTCCCACCACCCTGACGGTGGACGAGACGCTCTCCTCCATGTACTTTGCCGACAAGGTAAAGATGATGAAGCCGGAACCGCGCAGCGGTGCATGGAATGAGAACGACGCAGTCTGCGAATATTTTGCCTCACTGCGGAAGTATGAGGCGTTGCTTGCCGACGTGCACATCGCGGGGACCATGCACGCGTTTACCGCCCCGCAAATTGTCCTGCTTGTTGCCCGCGACCGCAGCAATGTGCTGTATGACCCGGTCTTCCGTGTGCGGAAGCCTGAGTGCGAGATCCGCAAAATGGCGGTGGCGATGATGTGCGAGGCTTTCAAGGCAGCCGCTGTGGAACGTAGTAGCGAAGATGTGGGGCAGCAACGGCTGGACGTAGAACGGCGGACCCTCCGGAATGAGCTTGTCACGGCGTGGAAGGCGCGGTGGAGAAGCGCGTCCACCAGCCTCAAGGAACTCTCAGCGCGGACGGCGCAGGACAGCGCTGAGGCGGCGCTGCTTGAAGAAATCAACGCGGCGGCGGCGCAACTTCAGGACGCCCGCGTCCTCCGCAGTGAACTGCAGCAGCGGTATCAATCTGCCGGCGCCCGTGCGGCGGAGGCGGGGCATACACTGTCTGTTATAGAGAAGAAGTTAAGGGACGAGGAAGACGCCGTGAGAAACTCCGTTGCCGCCGCTTCAGCGGGGGTTGGGCCGGGCGCGGCACCCACATCCAAGCAGGAAGAAACGTCCTGGACGCAGCTCTCAGATTTGGCGGCTCAGGCGCTGCACTCTGCTGGTATGCGTTACGATTGGTGTGTTTTGATCTGCGCAACCCGGCGACTCGCGTGGGAGTTGGCCCAAAAGCGAGAGCAGCTGCAACAACGTCGGCGAAGTGCATCGCGGCAGCAGAGCGCTGGTGATGAGTTGCTCCAGATGGTGCGAAGTAAGTCGGAGATATCCACTGCGACCTCGCTTAGATGTGAGGAGGAGCTCCGGCACAACGACCCCGTGGTGCTTGGCGGTCACCCTGTTTTCAACGACTACGCGGTGCCGCGGCCGCGTCAGTACTGGCAGCCCCCACCTTCAGAGAGCAGCGAGGCAGGTAAGCGGCGGCGCGGCACCCGGTATGACACGGCGGAGCTGTTGGAAGACGTTGCCTCCTTCGTGAAGATGGGCGGGGAGGTGACTCGCTACTCGAGCGACGGCTCGTCGCACCGCCGGCTGCTCTACGTAGATGGAAAAGCTGGCGCGGAGCAGCTCTCCTGGTCGGCTGTGGGGAGTCTGGCACCTGAGGGCCGTGTCCCCTTGTGCACCGTCACGCAAATACTTCTAGGGCGAAGTTCCACGACCACCGAGGCGGCTTCGTACTACTTGAGCTGGGGGGTGGTGTCCCGGCAGAAGAAGTCGACGAAGCTCGTGGAATTTTCCTGCAACACGGAGTCTGAATTCGAGGCGTGGGTGATGGGGCTCAGTCAGCTCACCGGGGTGAGGGCCGCCTTTGGCGAGCCGATGAAGCTGCCGCCAGAGACGGCGGTGGAGGAGGGGAATACCATCAGCGACGCGGAGGCGGCGTTTTGTGCGCAGTGGCACCTCCCGCCGGCGGTGTTCACGGAGGCGCGGGGGCAACTGATGCGCCGTCGCAAACCGTCGAGAAACTCGGGACTGCGACTGACCCCGGGAGAATTACGGTACCTTGTAAAGCTGGACATCTTCCGTGCCTCCGCCATGTGGCTGCACTTCTTTGCCGAGGGCCTTGTTTTGAAACCAGGAGAAAAGCTCTACTGCTACGTGGAACTGCCGGGGGGACCACAAACGATGTCGTCAAGGCTGAATTCAGTCACGAACGCGGCGTCGTGGGCTGACTCCTCTCTTAAGAGCGTGCCTGTGTCTTTCTATAGGAAGGAGGATGAATAGGGCTATACGTATCTTTCGTGTGTGTGTGTGTGTGTGTATGTTGTAGAAGCTTCTAGAAGGGAGTGTGTGCACCCAGACGAGGCCACACAGAGGAGCGGGCCATTTATGCATGTGCATTTTTCCCCTGCACCTGCTAGCTGATGTCTTTCCCGCGAGAGCGCGTTGGGAGCCGACGGGTGGGCAGTTCTGCCCTCTCGCCGCACACCCCCGCCCCTCCGCGAGCTCCCAGCGCGCCCAGTCATTGTAAAACGTCTCGATGCATTAATTGCTGTTGTTGCTTGTTTTTTTTGTGCCTTCGTGTTTCGTGTAGATATCCCGTTCAAATTGGAACGGTCAGCACAGTGGTCCGAACTGTTTATTTTCTCGTGTTTTCTCTTTTCTCCGTGCGGGGGGAGCGTAGGAGGTCTCTTACTGGCGCGCATAACTCTCTGGTTTTAGCCTGCATTCAGGCACGGTAAAGCCTTGTCGTAGTTCTTCTGCCTCCTCGTGGTTTTTGCCCTTGTTCTGGGGGAAGGAGGAGGGGGGAGGGGAGTTGCGTTTGTGTGGCAATAACATGTAGATGCAGAGGAAGGCGGGCGGAGAGGCGCGAAGGCCGCATACCATCACCTCGCGCTGTGGTCGCAGGTGAGCCTTACAGGTAGCTGTGTCCGTTAACCATGAATTTTGCATCGACGAGTTTAACAGTGAAGCGGGGGGGGGGGGGGCAGGTGTCAGGTAGTGCCGCTGACAGGTGCGACGCCCCCGCATATTACATATATATATATATGCATGTATATGTTTTCTTTTTACTATTTTTGCTACTGTTATTGTTATCCATCCCTCCTCGCCTTTTTTATGTTTCTTTGTTTGCTGCTGCTGCTTTCACTGGCTGCCTCCAGTTGCCCCCTTTCTTTTCTCGTGCTCTCGCCCGCGTTGCACACAACGTCTGGGGGTGCCGCGCTCCGTCTCCCTCCCTTTCCGTTGGCGCAGGTTTGTAGGTCATGCAGGCCCCGAGCGAGGACGACGTTGCCCGCCAGGAGTCTCTCAAGCGACGGGCGGAGGCGCATGCGCAGTGGAAGCGGAACTTCTTTCAGAGCCGGCCACCGCCGCCGTTCATTCCGAAGTGTCGGCGGCGGCGTAGTCGCGAGCGCATCGCCGGCGCCCCTGTGCATCTCCTGCACAGGCGGGCCCTGGAGCTCGTGAGCGCCGAGGCGGCACGCGCGTCGTCCCCTCCGCCGCCCCCACAGGCAGCCACGACAGAGGTGACGGAGCCTAGGAGCAAAAGTGACGCGTGGCGGGAGAGGATGCTGCTCGAGGTGGAGCGCCGCGACCCGTACACGGACATCAACATCCGCACCGACCCCCGGCGCACGGTGGTGGTGTCCAGCCTGCACCCCAAGTCCCTGGAGGAGGACATCCGCCTGTTTGGCGAGCAGTTTGGGCGGGTGGTCAGCGTACGCCTCATCTGCGACCGGGACGGAAGAAGCCGCAGGTACGGCTTCGTTCAATTTGGGTTGGAGGCGGAGGCGCGAAAGGCGGTGGCGAACAGCCGTAAGCGGCGGCTGCACGGACGCGCCGTCGTGATGGAGATGGAGCGCGGGCGGCTGGAGCCCGGCTTCTTGCCGAAGCGGCTTGCCGAGGCGCGCCGCCAGGCTGCGGGGTCGGCGTCGGCGAGTAGCGCAAAGCGGCAGCGCGTGGAAGGGCGGGGCGTCGCGTCCGCGCCAGCGGCCGTGGCGAGGGGAGGCGCATCCGCCGCGACGGCAGATACTCGCGACGAGGTGGACGCCTTTCTGGATGACATTATGAACCTCACCTGAATCCCGCTTGCTGCTTTCTTTCACTCCTTCTTTCCCTCTCTGTCTCTCCCTCGCCGACTGTGTGCGTGGGGCGGGATGTTCTCCCTGCCCGCGTGACGACGGAGCGCGGGCTCTGCGAGAGCAGCTGCGCACCTACCGGAGTTTGCGCTCTCGCGTGTATCACGTTGTCCGTTTTATTTATTTGTTTTTCCTTCCTCTTTTCCTTCTCCACACAAATGGCTCCAGCTGAAGGCGAGCGGGCGTGAGTGATTTTAGGCCTAAGTGACACTCGAACACATTTTTTTTCTCTCGTAACTTACTTTTATCCCTAGTTGTTTCTTGCTCCCTCCCTCTCTCTCCCTCTCCCGCCGTGGGTGTGTGTCGCGCCGTTGTTTTGCATTGCCGCGGCTTTGGGGTGGGCGAAGCGGCGCAGCGGCGGCCAGGATGCACGTCTACTCGATCCAGCAGATCCTCGAGGCCCAGTCGCTGTACCGGGACGCGCCGTACCCCGGCTTCTCGCTGGAGGAGGCGTGTCGGCGAAAGAAGATGACGCAGACGAAGCTGGTGCGGGGGGTCAACGCGTGGGTGGCCCGGGGCTCGGCGAAGACGACGGAGGAGTGGGTGGAGCGGCTGGTGCAGGGCTCCCTCAACAAACTCAGCACGGCGAACTTTGACGCCATGGTGGCAAAGCTGCAGACCGACGTCATCTTCTCCACGAAGGAGACGCTGAGGATAGCGGTGCGGATCATCTTCAGCAAGGCCCTGGATGAGCCGGAGTGCAGTAAGCTGTACGGCGGGGTCTGTTACAAGCTTGCGGAGTTTGAGGTGGGGCTCACCGCGGCGCAGCAGCCGACAGACGGCAAGAAGCACTCCAAACTGCGCAACGCCGTGGTCAGCATCGCGCAGGAGGAGTTTCTGAGCCGGCGGAAGATGCCGTCGATGGAGGGACTCACGGAGGAGGAGATGGAGCTGCGGCGCACCACCTTCATGCGGCGCAAGCGCGCGAACATGAAGTTCATCGGGGAGCTCTTCATGCACAAGGTCCTCTCCCAAAACACCATGATGAACATCATTCAAACCATTATGCAGGAGGCGGAGAAGGGCGGCCACCCCACAAGCGAGGATATTGAGTTTCTCACCGAGCTCTTTTTGACCATCGGGGAAAGCCTGGACGCCGTACCAGAGCTACGACTGCGGGTGAACAGGTACTTCGAGCTGCTGGAGGCCCTGAAGGAGCTGAAGGACGTGTACCCGCCGCGCATCCGCTTCAAGATGCTCGACCTCATTGAGCTGCGCAGTAAATTTGCCTGGGAGCGGCGCACCACCACGGCGCCCAAGACGTCTCCCCCGATGCAACGGGAGACGCTACGCGTGACAGACAAAACTGTCGCCCGAGCCTCGACGAATGCCTCGTCAAGTGGGGTCAAGAAGGGACGGCAAGGCGGCGTTTCCGAGGCGGCCTCGCCGCAAGCGGCAAATGGAGCAGCAGCAGCAGCAGCAGCTCCCGCACCTGCGAAGGCGGCGGCTGCGGAGACGGGTGGTCGCAGCTGGAGCAACATTGTGAAGCCTGCACCGGTGCCGGGCGAGGCCGCCGTGGCTCGGGTCGTTGAGCCGGTGAACTTTGAGGCGCGTGTGAGCTCCCTCTTCCAGGAGTGGGTGGCGGAGTGCTCAAACGACTTCATTCCAGAGTGGATGAACGAGTTCCGTCACTGCCAGCGGCAGTTTGACTCGGAGGACGCCCTCTGCAAGGCGGCGGCGGAGGTGGTGGTGCGGGAGGCGTGCATGACCACGAAGAGGGAGGCGCAACGGGAGGCAAGCAGTTTTCTTATCGTAGGCCTCTTCCTGGCGGATGACGAAGTCCTGGACGGCTTTGCCATGGCGCTGGTCTCCGCCATCGAGCAGGGGATCCTGGAGGACGTGCCGAAGTTTAGCGAGCGCTTCATCAACATGCTTCGCATCACCTCCGGCGAGAACACCGTCGCAGACGTCTACTACGACACGGCCCGCGTGCTGTGCACGGCGTACGCTCTGATGCGGGAGCCCGACGAGGCGGTGCTCGACACCATGATGGAGTTCTGGGGGAAAATCCCCCGCCCCGCCACCGACGAGAGCGCCCTCCTGCCGCTTGAAGTGGTGCAGTCGCTGACGGAAATGTCCACGCGCGGGCAGGCCCCACTCACCGGCCGCATCATCGCCTCGCTGCACTCCATTGGCCTCGTGCATGAGGCGACGGTGAAGGAGTGGCTTGCGGCCCCGCACGACTGCGTCGGTGCCGAGGTGGTCGAGGCGTTTAAGCAGGCAACGAACTGACTTCGCATTCGCCTATTTACGCATGCACTTAAGTATATATATATATATATATATATACAAGCATGCATGCATTTGTATTTAAATGCACGGCTCTGTTGGTAGGGGGTCCCACACGCACACAAAGCGAGAGCGAGAGACTAAAGTTGTGTTAAATAAACGAGAAAATAATTCGCGGCGGGCAGGAGGAGGAAGCAAAAACAAAAAAAAAACACACACACAAACGAAAAGCAAAGAAGCAAAGAGAAATGCCCCTTCCCCCGCTTCAGTGGAAAAGTCACACCGGCGTGCGCAACTACGCAAATAAACTTAAAGAGCTTTGAACGGCGGGGCAGGGGGGGAGGGGAAAAAAAAAAGGAAACGCACAAACCTTCCGGCCGGAAGGCGGTGTTTAAGACAACCCGGAGAAGCAATGAAGGAGACGAGGAAGCAAAAAAAAAAAAACATACCAGGAAAGAAGGAATGAATCACCGTGAGTTAGTTGAACTACGTTTACTCTCTGGCTGCGGGTTTCCCGCCCCCATTGCCTCCGCCCGTGAAAAAAAACAGGGCGTTCTTCTCCTTTCCTCTCACCGTCGCTCGTCATCGTGCTTCTCCGCTGCAATGTTTCTATGCCCTCGCCCCTTGCTTTCTTGTCGCCGGTGACGGGAGCTTGAGCACAGACATACAAACACGCATACAGCTATACATCTGTAATACGCGCATCAGCTAACTGGGTTTAATAACTATCTTTTAGTAACTAAGGTGAAGACGACACGATGAGTGCGAAGTTGCTTCGAAACCTCATTACGGGCGCGGTTGCGGCCTCCGCAGGTATCTTCAGCTGCTGCTTCGTCGTACGGCCCGGGGAGGCTGCCATTCTCTACAACAAGATCAGTGGTCTTAAGGAATCCGTGTACGGCGAAGGACTGCAGTTCCGCATTCTGGGTCTGGACGACATCAAGATGTTCAACATCCGTGTCCGGCCCCGCGTGCTGCAGACCATGACTGGCACAAAGGACCTGCAAATGGTAAACATTCGGCTGCGTGTCTTGTTCCGCCCGCAAATAGAGCGTCTGCCGCAGATCTACCGCACCTTTGGAATGGACTATGATGAGCGTATCCTCCCTTCCGTCAGCAACGAGATCCTCAAGGCGGTTGTGGCGGAGTACAAGGCGGAGGAACTGATTCAGAAGCGTGACGTGGTCTCCGCCCGCATCTATCAGCTGATGCAGGAGAAGGTGGCACAGTTTGGCCTCGTCCTGGAAGATCTTTCCCTCGTCGACATTCAGTTTGGCAAGGAGTTCATGATAGCCGTGGAGCAGAAGCAGGTCGCGCAGCAGGAGGCGGAGCGGTTCCGCTACGTGGTGCAGGAAAATGAGCAGAAGAAGCGGGCGGCTATTGTGCGGGCGGAGGGCGAGGCCGAGTCCGCGCGCCTCATCTCGGAGGCCATCAAGCGCTCCGGGCAGGGCCTGCTGGAGCTGCGGCGCATCGAGGCGGCGCTGGACATCGCCTCGCAGCTGGTGCCGATGAGGAACGTGACGTTCCTTCCGACCGGCCCCAACGTGCTGATGAACCTCAAGAACCTGAGCGGCTGAGGTGGCCCGCCCTCCGCCGTACACGTGCCTTGGGTACGGGAGAAAGCGAGCGAGCGAAAGAGAGAGTGGGAACGCGGGAAAAGGAAGGAGGGAAAAAGGGGGCGGCCAAATCCGCCCCGGGCCCTGCCAAACGGCGACGCACCACGGCGTGTGCGGGAATGGGAAATAGGAGGAAAAGGAGGGAGGGAGGGAGAAGCAGAGCGCCCACGCGCCCATCCCC